ATCATATTGTAACAATCCATCTTCTTTACTTACCTTCAAGTGAAACGACTGCGAAATTCTCTTTTCTGTTTATTAATCATTCATATTCTTTATGCTTCTGTATCATTCTGTGTGATTTTTGGAACTACCTTATTAATTTCTCCTTCTCTTGTATATTTATATACACTCTGGAACTATATTATTAGTTTTTCTTTTATTTGACATTTATTAGTTTACCATATTGTCGTGTATCTAACCTTTGCAGGTATGGGGATAGTTGTCGAAGAGGACAAGAGCTAGTCGCACACTCACATCCAATGGGAAGGAAACTAGGAATAATGGAATGTAACTCATTCTACTTAATGTATATATAGATGATAGACATTGTACAGGAAGTAACGCTGTAGTTTCAAATAGTTTCAACAATAAGTTTTATATGAAATTAAAGCGCGTCAATAATGGGATTTATCAGTATTAAATAGTAAGGCTTATGAAAATCTTTCAGTGTTGAATTGAGAAAATGTCTAGAATTTGACGCCATATCGATGTAGAAAAATTCTTTTCCCGAGGAAGTTCAAACTAAATCTGGTCTAAAATGATGAATATAATCAATAGTCAGTATAACGACGACTATTAGCGTTCTCTATAGAACGAAGATGAGGCAGAAACGAACATAAAAGAGTTTCAAATACCTCAATATTTGTTTCTATGTTTGACGAAATATATGAGAGTATGGATGTGGAAGTAGTTCTTCTGATACTCACACCCACATCCTATTTTTTCAGTAACTGTAAGCACAGTGAATACTTTAGTCGGCACTGTGTCGTAGATGCGGACGCAAATACGTCGTAGTGAAAGCAGTCTAGTTCTTTAATCTCAACTGCGACATATTTATGAAAGAAATGATGATATGGGTAGTGTTGATAACTATTCAGAGATCATAATTAGAATAGAGAAATTTTCAGACTTATATTGCTTGACTCTTGAAGCCATGAAAAGGGTGGTTATTGAAAAAACTTGAAATTTATTGCAACGGTTTTTCAAAATATTCTTAAAATATCTTTATGAATCATTTTAAAATCTCGAAAGTGAAATTAAACGAATTTTTGACTAGCTCAATGAAATACGTTTATTCATGTATTAAAATTACTTTTAATATTCAATTATTCATGCATTCACAAAATGCTGCTCATTAAGAATATCATGACACATATATATTAAGTATTGTAATACTGAATCTGAATAATTGAATTCAAGTTTTAAGTTTGACACTAATTTACTTACTAATCTACTTAAGCACGTATATAGTTATTTATTTATTTCAAGCAAAATCAATTGATAAAGAACAAGTGTTTAGATTAGCAGATTGATTTGTATTTATGAAATTTACAGATCAGTTTTTTTTTCTGTGTGAATCACTGCCATTCTCAGATAATATACCACCTTTGAATAAAAGCCATAAACCAAATCCCAATTCGCCAATTATCATAGGTAAGCTAATAAATAATTCAATTGTTGCTTTATATTTTTCGTAGTTAAGTAATAGTAAATTAGCAGAATGGTTGACTAAGTAACACAAAGAAGCAATGATTAATAAAACACCAAATATTTTTGGAATATAACCAGACTTGAGAACTAAATAACCAAGCATGTAAAGATGACATCCAAAAACAATTAATCCAATTGACCAAATATTATGAAATGCATTTAAAAAAAAAAAGTTATCAAGGCATTTACTTGACTTATTTCGAAAACAGACAAGTAATTTTCACCAGTCAATAATAATACAATAAAAATGAAATTTAATAAGGCAGTTCCCAAAATTGCTGAATAGACAAGTCGAAACCAAGCCGTTAGCAAGGAAAGATTTTCGTTTACTTGTTTGAGAAAAACATGAAGTCCCCAAGCCGCCAATATATCACAAATAAGGATAATCAAAAAACTATAAATGCTAAGACGGAATAGCATCATAGAAGATTTAATATTATTCGCTGTTAACGTTGTATTATCAGGTACAATTAGACCTTGAAGAACAAAACCATAGGCAAACCCTGCAAGAATTGCCATAATTAAAATTGACCATCCTGCAACTAATGCGGCTTTACGTTGTGAAATATGAAGCATTGTGCTTTTAATTTTGAAATATGATTACTATAAAAATTTTTTAAAACAAAAACAAAATTTATCTTTTTTAAAATTATTATTTTCATAAATTTAAATAGGATGTTTTGTTCAGTCTTGAATGATCTTTCTAATGGTGTATAAAATATTGTGATACGAAGAGGCTTGTAAGAGTATTTACACTTTTTTTCATTTTGCGGGCTATTCTCACTAAAAGCCAAATTTTGGAGATGAAGATCGACTCCAGAAAAAAATCTTTTTTTATTAACTAATAGGGCGTGAAATGTTATATCGATCCAGATACTTTTTTTTCCATTTTAGAACAAATCTCTTCGTTAAAAAATACAAAATACTGAATGGCATGTAAATTCGTTTTTTTACATAGAAAAAATTCTTTTTATTATGAAAAATTGATATTGACACATAGAGTCTCATTCTATAGTTGGCCTCTGATACAACCTATATTACCATTTGAATCATATTTCTACCTCATAATATGAAAAAAACAAATACGAAAAAACTAATTTCACTTAAACTTTTGTCCCTGGCTGTACATACATGCACATGTCTACATACCAACATAAACATATTTTTTTCTTTCTTGTTGAAATATGCATACACATGTAAAATAAGAAACCTAATTGGAGGTTTTTCTTTTTCTTTTCATGTAGCTAAGACACACGTGCATCAACGACTGTCGTTTTTTTCTTTCCTTTGCATACTTATGCAAACATAACCTTTATAGAGTAAATGTTGTCATAAGC